ATAATATATATTTTTTTGCGGGAGCGGGACAGAATCTTGCGGGAGCGGGCAGGAGCGGGACTGAAAAATTCGTCCCGCGCAGGTCTCCAGATCACAACCCTAATTATTAAACACATTAAAATTTTTCAGACGTCTTCTATGATGTTGAAATGTCATTGGCTGTTGCTTGGCGCGCCTGCTGCTTTGGTTTGAGTACTCGATGGTAGCCCCCCCCCGTCGTTAACATGGCACGCAGACTAACAAGAAAATATATAATTGGCACTCCATGTCAAAAAGGTTGCCGACCCCTGGACTAGACAAACAACTATCATTTGTCCAATCTGGGTGTATAGGTTGTCTTCCAAAACTGTAGTAATTTAAGAAATAATACAAATCTTTTAAAAAAATCTTTGTTGCATTGCTCTGCCTTCATGATAGATAGATAGATAGATAGATAGATAGATAGATAGATAGATAGATACTGTAGCAAAATGTTACTCCTGCAGACATTAATGTGATTGCTGGTTATACTGTAAGTAAAATCTAGCTTATTGACAAGTTTTGTCAGAATGGATTGTAGATCAATTCTGAAAAAGGAAAAACATGAGTGAACATTTTAAATAATTATAATAGCTGTGAAATTGCAGAACAGATCAACAACGTTCATTTAAAACAAACTCATTCAAAGGGTCCTTGGTGGGATGGACTTCATCAGTCTTCTTTAATGGGATCACCAAAACTTAGTCTGGAAACATCAGGACTACTGTGGCCCCACCCAGGAGTATAATCGGAAATCAGACTTCAGAGGTTTGTATTTTAGAGCTACTTTCTTCTGAGTTAGTGTCAGTCTGATGTTAATTGAAGTTATACAAATGTATATGAATAACTGTCACTGCCAGAGTAATAGAGAACTTCTTTTCCCTTCCAGTGTCACAGGACACAATGACGTAAAGTGGAACAGTATTTAGAGTATTTTGAAGATTTTGTGCAAAATTGTAGTCAATCAGGTAGATGAGAACTGAATAAATATTTAAAAGGGAGGGATTAGTGGGCATGGGGGGGGGGTGGTTCAAATGCAGAAAGAGTAATGGGTTCCAGTGCTGGGAGGCGGGGGGAAGAGAAGTCTGTGAATTTATGAGTTGAACAGCCCTGGGAACAAAGGTTGCTCTCCTCCTCTGTGTCCTGCAACCGGGACAGTGGAGCCGTCGTCCTGAGGGAAGCCACTCAAACTCCAGGAACAGAGCATGGGAGGGGTCCTGCAGAATCCTGCATGCTGTTCCTAGTTTGCTGCTCACACAGGGATGAAAGTGCTCTGACCGGGAGTCCACCACCTCCACTAAATGCCCGTGGATTATGCTGACAGATCCTGTCGCCAGCTCCCTCTGTTTATTAGAGAAGGTAAATATTTAATTGTTATACTGCATTGGGAATGGGACTGCTTGGGATAAGTGGTTACAATCAAACGTATTGTATAATATCTTGCTCTTCACAGTAATAATTGCTGTAATCATGTTAAAGTTTACTATAAAGAGAAATGTTTCTGTGCAACAGGCCAGCATGAGAAATGGGTGTCTGGAAGCTTAAGTGTGAAGATACATAACGACCACCATGCTCAGCCCCAGTCACAGGGTCCAGGTCCTTGGTTCAAAACCAATGCATTTTTAATATTTCTACTGAATTAAGCAAGCATCCTGAGACTTTCTGGAAGCAGTGTGGAGGTAGCCAAGACTGCATTTAAGATAATAAAATAAAAATTTGAAGCAGATTGTTAAGTTAGCCCAGCGGGCAGGAAGGCAGCGAAGCCGTGAAGTCAGGAATAGGGTTCTTTTGGCACGGACAGGGCAGACAGCGACAAACATCAATGACGGATCTGGGGAAACTAACTCAGACGTGGACTAAATACACAGGACAGGCTGAACATATTCAGTTACATATTCATGTGTATACATATTGCTGTAATGTAAAGGTTTTTTTTTTTAAAAACTTAAAAAAAAATAAAAAATACTTCCCATTTGTTTGTTTTCCTGCCCCCCACGAATAAGGTACAAACATTTAAGACAAAAGGCATAATGGAAATTCACTGCGCTTATTTGACCAAGGTCCATTGGTGGATGTCATCATCTTCTGGACTGTGAGTGTTAATGTCTTGGCTCCAAGATGCATTTTAGCATAGATTATGCAGATCCATCCATGGTGGTTTTGCAGGCTTTGCTTATAACCTGGTGAGCTTCCACTGTGAGCAAGCCAAGTGTCCAGGTCATAAGCACAGGCCCGCCAGTAGCTCCAATGGCCTGCTGCATAAGGCCCTGACCATCTGAACTCGATATTGCAGATTTAAGTGCCATCTGGGATGATTCCCTCTTTACTTCTCCCTGTTGTCTACCACTTTGTCTCATAAGAAATATTGCAATGAAACACCCCATCCCCCCGCCAACAGCTTTCATGATATGTAAAGGATTAATATACACTCACCTAAAGGATTATTAGGAACACCTGTTCAATTTCTCATTAATGCAATTATCTAATAAACCAATCACATGGCAGCTGCTTCAATGCGTTTAGGGGTGTGGTCCTGGTCAAGACAATCTCCTGAACTGCAAACTGAATGTCAGAATGGGAAAGAAAGGTGATTTAAGCAATTTTGAGCATGGCATGGTTGTTGGTGCCAGACGGGCCGGTCTGAGTATTTCACAATCTGCTCAGTTACTGGGATTTTCACGCACAACCATTTAATAATAATAATAATAATAATAATA